TCGTAAATATTTGATACTGTTCGAAACTGGTTGATTTCTTGGCTTAAATAGACAATGATTCGATAGCTTTATAATAATTTGCCGCCCGCCCTAGCCGATGCTTGGGAAGGACTCAAGTGGAAGGGTTGTAGAAATGTGTAGTATATGCAGACTTCATTATTATATGGTTTATTAATAGTTACATAAGTAAAAAGCAGTATTCACTTCTCATAGAAGAGTGTCAAATTTGTGTTGTCGCAATGATGTGGTGGCTCCTTGATGATGACGATGTGATGACGTCTGCTAATGTTGTAAGGATTAGTAGTTGTTCGGGATTGGAGCAACTTCGAAGAAATGAAAGATGAGAAAAGTACAAGCTCTCGGACTTTATGTTTCTAAGCATTGATTCTGCGAATTCTTGTATAGTCTACGCCTTATTTTCTAGTGCCTTACAATATTTCCGTATAGCAACATCACTGAAAATTCTCGAAACTTCCAAAGATCTGTCTTTCTGGAAACTTAGTCTAGCAACAAGTCCAAGTACTGTTGCCAGCTTTGTAAGTTGCCACAAGAATATTTAAGAGCAGCTCGCCACGCACCGTGGCTCATTGTAATTTTACCAAGCTTTTACTCATCTGTTATTGCTCACAGTAGTTCCCAATCAATCAGATATCAGTTATTACTCACAGAGCCACTAAACTCCGCCGTATACCGGTCAGTCTACAATATATACGCACATGATTCTTCCAGACTCTGCAATAATAAACTAGTAAGCCAACAGTGAAGCCATAATCATTTAAAACTATTGAAGTGCGCCATAGTTAGCCAGTCAAGAGTGCTGGCTGTATTTCAATAGTGAAGATTAAACTAGAAGCGCACCACCTAAAAGCACTCATCACAGAATTAGGTAAGACATCAATTTTTGTGAATTTAATTAAAGAAGAAATCTTTATTGATGGCGCAAGAGCGCCAGCCTTATACGGCTCTGAAGGTGTGAATACACCGGCTAAAAGGGCAGATATTAGATTGCGAAGCTCCCGCGAACGACTGAAGGTGTACGAGAAAACACTGGCTAAAAGGGCAGATATTAGATCGCGAAGCTCCCGCGAACGGCTGAAGGTTTACGAGAAAACACCGGCTACAAGGGCAGATATTGGATACATTACCATCACGTGGCAATACACGAAGAAGTACCAGAAATTTACGACCTGTTAATTCTCAGTGTAATCATTTACCACCAAGCACACTACGTCAAGAGGATCCGGAGATTTACAACCTCCTACCACTGTATGTAGTGCTACCAACACCACGTGACAACTACCATCAAGATCTCACAGCTTCTCAGCACCATCTTAGAATCATATTTATGTGTAGTCTGAAAATAAAGAAAGAGAAAAAATGCGACGATACACTATGTATTAATGTTGAATAAATGCGCTTTCCTATTCCACTTGCCAGCAATCCTCCCACCGAACATTTCTGGAAGGTTTTAATATAATCCTAGACAATTTGGTCCTTCGAGCCGGATAAGTGGAAGTCAGTGCATTCCCTAAATATTAATACAACAGCAAAGAAACGCGGCTACACTCATCACACTTATAATCATACAGCAATACGGTACCAGAGTCACAACCCAAATAATCTCTTCAATACTATAAATACCTCATTGTTATTCTCTTTCATACTACAAAATGTAAATAATAAAGCATGACTCGCAGCACCACCAAGGAAAAACCATTCAATGAGATACAATACAAGTGTATAAAATACTATAAGATTAAATATTACTCTTAAGAAGGAAGGTGAGTGAAATTGATAAGTTATACCATCATTATTCGATTATATACAAACCTCGTTCCCTCTCTTTCTCTCCCTTCACATGATCACTCCCCTCACTTTAACCCCCTTACTTTATCACCCACTCACTTTACATCCCTCCTTCACGGAACTTTTTTATGTAACAAACAAATTCTTTATATTTGAATTGAAAAATATTATGTCTACAAATAAAATATTTTACTTATTTCTTTAAAAATTATGAAAAATATTTTAATTCATTATAGTTTCAAAAAGTTTTATCTTAAAGAAATAGCTTATAAACTATTACAACCTAAGCATTAATTCAAAGACTTTGTATTTATCTTATTTATATTGCATATAAATAAAATTATTACTGCGTTATATAATAGTGTCACATAAACAAATAAGCAATATCATTACTATTAATTTCTGTTCTACTTCTTAATTGACAATGGTTATTGATGACTAGTATTTTATTTTATATCACTTATTAACATATTTTTCATTGATACTTATATGAACACAATAACTCACTATGCATTAACATAATTTAAATGATTAATACTTTATTGATTTTATTGTTTGTCTAAATATATTATTTTCTGTGACATTAATTTGTACTATTATTAATTAAATATCTTTAATGTTAATTCAATTAATAAATTCAATTAATACACCTTAATATCCATATATTGCATAAAAATTATATTATTCCAAATTCACAGGATATACTATTAATTTATTTATTAATACAATTAAATACAGCTTTTTAATTATACATATCAAAATTCTAAATTCTCATGTAAAATGTAAATTGTTTGTGTATACACATTTTAGTATTTTTATTTTATATATAACTGATTTTCATATATTTCATCAAATAAGTTTTTATTATTTCTTTTATAAATAAATCTGCGTATTCATTTAATTATTATTAATTATCCTAAGTAATAGATTTAACTATTGATTCTATTTGCATTATTATTTATTTCATATCCTTCAAAGTACCCTTTATTTTTACTCTTTTCATGTTAATATTAATATCATAGCTGGTTATATTTTTAAATTTAATTAATAGAACAGAATTTAATTAAAATATACAAGTTGTCCAATATTTCTTTAAGATTAAGAAATGAATAAAATGCTCTGAATAGAAATAAGAATAATAATTATTACCAAAATTTGCGTATAAATATATATTTATGAGAACAAAATAATAAATATGCAATTTATTTAGGCCATACCGATTATTCTTCTTATAATTAGGTTTAGAAAAAATTCTACATTTTTAAATACAAAGTACATAATAAATAATGATAATGTACTATTTGTAAAGTATTAAAAAATTGAATTACTATTAAATTCATTGCTAGATAATGCCTTGCATTTAGTTAGATAAGTCTTATGTCTTAATTAAATATATCTATTACTGTCTATCAGATAGTGTTTGAACTAAATAATAGTAGTCGTTTAAAATTATTGTACAAATTTTAAATATGATACAAAATTAGAATACAATTTATTATTATTTAAAAATCACCTTTAAAATTTTTTTATTTACTATTATTTCAATTTCAAACGTATTTTAGATCAATTGCATACTATTTTTTATTACATTTACTTATTAATATAGTAATATATGTATGTAAAATTTACTTTAACATCATTTTTTTAACAACACATGAAAAATAAAAATGAAATCATTCAAGAATTTAATTTTTGAAGAAAATAAAATTCTAAAAACATTATAATAAAATATCAATTATATATAAAAACTGTCAGATAATGAAATATAAATACACTTCAAATACTAAATTTTACAAATATTTTCTTTGAGAATATAATTTTAATACATACAAAAAATTGAAGTATATCATTTCTCCATTGTTATATTGGGAATCTTAAAAATTATTTTAATTTTTATTTATATTTGGATGTGCCTTAGTATGTTTTAGTATTTCTTAACCCAATGTCAGTTTTGACGGAGGAATTTAGAAATTAATGGATGATCATTGTTTCTGTGTGGAGATTCTTCTAATAAACTATTGAATGATTTTAATCAGTTTTAATTAAATAATCTTTCTATTTTGAAATTGTTATAGAGAATTATTATATTAAATTATTAAACTTTCCAAAAATAATCATGGTACAAATTTATTTTAGAATTTCGATCATTCCACAAACAAATTTAACAGAGCTTATTACGTAATGTAAACAAATATAAAGGAAATCGAGCTTCATCTCTATTGATAAAAATTGTTACGAATGTCAATCGAAATTATTTCAACAAAAAATATTTTTTTTAATTTTCGGAAGTTTCTGTTACTATATTATACATTATTGAGTTATTATTATTAAATCTTTATTATTATTCTAAATTATAATTATTATAAAAAATTATATAAATATGTTCATAATAAAACATTAATTTTATCATTAATTTAAAGATACATCATTATCATGAAATTGCATATTTTAATTTCTTATTAGATTAGTTACAATTCAACGTTACAAATGTTTCATGAGTATTTCTGTAAGCGCTTAATCAAATTCAGGTTACACAATTTCAATAAAATAATAACTAATAGAATTAAAAACTAAAAAAAGTAATTTAGTTGCTTCAAACTCATTAAAAAATACGTACAAATAAAAATTAAATGTTTTAGATAAACTTTGTATGTTGTTTGTTATTGTTGACAGAATTTTTAAATATTTATGACTCAAAACTGATACAAAGTTTTAATTTTTTAAATTTCTGTATTAATAATAATAAATTATATCAATAAATTATAATATTTTATTATATTAAATATTTTAAAATGATTTATTACTTTTACTAATGTAGCGAATTCGAAAATAACCACTTAGAAAAGGTTACTCTAAAAACGTTTGCAAAGCATAATAATCATAATGAATGTCTTTGTTTTTATATATAAACATTAAATCTGCGTAAATTTATGAATTTTACATTATTACTGACTTTGTTTTACTTATTTTGAATAAAAAATTAAAATGACAAAAAAATTTACCATTGCAAAGTAAAAAGTATTTAGTATAAAATTATACAACATAACAGTATTGGTTTTTCACAATATCTGATATTCTTCATTTCTTGTTAAAGTAATTGACACTATATTATAAATTCATTTTTTAAGGATGTAGAAACTACTTCAATTATTGATATAAAATTGATACATATCTGAATAATCTGAAAAAGAAAAACGTATATCATCGAATGTATCGCAACAATTAACTTATCCCCATCTAGTTCCGTTTCTTATAAACCACTGGAATTGCTGCGCGGCTCCCTAAAATAAAAAGATTTGTGATTCATGTGAAATCCAAAATTAATTTCGACACGGTTTTTTCATAATCTTCATTATTGTTTATAAATAATTAATGGTAATGACTATTTACAAATTTTAGTATTAATATAAAATTTAAGGAAATTATTTGAATCATTAGAATATACTCATACTTTAAATAATATTTTAAATAATTAGTATTTTATTAATATTTAAATAAATAATTGATATTGATCTTCCCTTTACAACATTATTAAATACAATTTATATAGTTAGGTTGTATTTCATTTAATTTTAATTAAATTTTTTTATTTACTTAAATTTTTTTTGTAAATTTTTAAATATATAAATAATCAAATTTTTATTCTAAAATTCTTTAATTTGAAATATATTATGAATATCGGAAATACATTTGAAAAAATATTTTTTAATTTCTATTTTTTATTGATTTATTTCATACTTTAAACTAGATTTAATTTTTATCAAGCCTCATATAAAACGATGTTAAAAATAATGTATAACATCTAGTTTGTTTAATAAATAAGTAATTTCATAGTATTTAAATATTTATATATTTATATATTCAATCAAGTTTCAAAAATGTAATATAATATAAATAAATTAGATAATTTAAATATATTTAAAAACAGGAATTTATATGTATATTTATATTATATAATTTTGTAAACAATTGCAAAAATAGTAGCTATACGTAAATAAACTAATATTATTACAATAAGAAAAAATATCTCGAGCTAGTAAATATATTCTCGATATTTCATACATTATTTATGTACAATTTGTGAGATAGTGAAAGCTGTAATATATTTATAAAATTTTAAAAATAAGTTTCAAAATTTAAGTAAATTTTATTACAATTATTGCCACTAAAACGATCACTTTTATCTAACAGTATTTAGTTAAAAGATTTATAATAAAGGCTGAGAAAAATATAAGAAAACAAACCTACTAACCGTAATAGTCGCACCAAGGAATTTACCAAATGTTTGTGTCATACTAATTGCGGCATTGAGTACTTGGTTACGAACTAATCCTTTATCTTGGTACAATGAACTTCCATTGCTTAAGCCATCGAAATTTCCGAACAGGGGTGAAGGATAAGTCCAGCTTGAGGATCTCCATTTTGTCGTCGTTCTTGTAGATATAGTTGTTGCTCTTGCTGTAGAAGATTGGATTGCTTTACCAACATTCTACAAAAAAAGCAATAATATGTTATCGCTTAAAATATTTCTTTCTTATTCTAATGACTTAAATAAATTATTGAATTTTATTGTATTAACGCTCGATATTATTCAATGGTTTATCAATACAATTTAATTTACATTTAAGTTTTTCATTATATGAAAAATAATTACTTATATTTATGTATTCGATTAAAATTTATTCGATTTTATAAAAATTATTATCAAAAAATTAATTCAATATTAAAAATACTCCAATTAATGAAATAGTTAATTTTTAATTCTATATAAATATAAATTTCATAATAAAATTTATAAATAAAAATCTAATGTATATTATTTTATAATAATTTCAACAATTTATTTTTAATATGTTCATAAAAAATATGAATATATTTATATTAGTAGCAGAAAAATTTGTTTGGCAGAAACATATTTCTGTATAGGTTTTCTCTGGCTTAAACTTATTCTATTTTTATATTAAAATTTTTATATTTTAAATTATATATTATTATGTTTTGTATTATTATTAATAAATTTAATATTCTTTTGTATAATGAATAAAATACAATTGTATTGAAAATTCAATTGCAGTCTTAATGAAATAAAAATAATAAAATAATTTAATTCTGAAATAAAATAGAACTGAGTACATAAATAAGTGATAAAATTAATATAAAATTTATTAGTAATTAAATATTCCTTTTATAATGTCTATTTAAATTGTAAATACTTTTAGATAATCAATTATAAGGACCTAATTATTCTTTTAATCATATAATTGAAACGTTCAACATTAATGAAATCATAAAATTAATTTCATAGCTTCTATAAGTATTAATTTCGAAGGAAAATGTTAACATCCAATTAAAAATATAAACTAAAACTATAAAATAATTTATATTTAAATAAATGTAAACTCTACATAAATATTATATTTTTTATTATCATGATTATTAAAAATTGTAAAAATTATAAAAATTGTAAAAATTATAAAAATTGTAAAATTTATAAAAATTGTAAAAATTACAATAAAAACATAGTAAATTCACAGAAGTAAATTCTAATTTAGTAAAAATTGTAAAATTTATAAAAATTGTAAAAATTACAATAAAAACATAGTAAATTCACAGAAGTAAATTCTAATTTAAATACGTAATGCCAAAAAAGCAATGTAAAATTATTTTAGCAACCTGTTGATATTTATAAAAATTGAAATAATATTAATTCCATTAAAATAAATTATTATTCAAGAAATTACTTTAGTTAAAAGAAATTGAAATGAAAAAAGAAATATTTAATAAATATAAGAGATAGAATGAAGGTAAGGTCAGAAAAAGAAATTTACGGATTGTTGAAGTTGTTCATTTAGTAAATTGATTGGCGTGGATGGTTCAATGATTTGGTCATTAAATTGAGACTTCATTGCTGGTTCATTGCTGCTGCCTGTAAATGGTAAAAAGCTAGTTCTAGATATGGCCATTTAAAATAACACAAATAAGTAATTGGTTGTTTGACTCAAAACCTGATCTAGATTCACTTATTAGTGGTAAACACGAAAATGTCCTGTAATTTGTTAAAATATTGCAAATATGCAATGTTTATATTTGTACAGAAATAAGTATCTCATTTTAATTTGGTTAGTATTCGTACTTATATTTAGGATGAAATATTTTGTGATAATAATATAACAACTTAAAATTTTGAATGGCAATATATACAAATTTCTTTATATATTATATATACTCATAAGATTTTTTCAATAATTAAGAAAATTTTAATTATAACTTGATGTATACTAAATAATATATTTTCATTATAATCAACTATAATTATATAAATCATAATATCTAACTATATTTCCCAATTCTTTTTTATATAAATTGATATAAATATACTTTCATTTCGACTCATTATTTACATAATATCAATTTTAATTATAATAATAAAATAATTATAAATAATTCATAAGCAATTTAAATTATTAATTCAATATTTTACCATTCATATTTTGAGTAATCTGCAGAAAAGTCGATAAAAATTTAGTATCATCCTTAGAAGAATATATTGCCGGAGATTGTTCGGTAATTGTCGGCATTGGTGTTACAATTGTCATCTCTTTAGCAAAAACTGTATTGTAAATTGTGTCTGTTTGACCCTGTATATTAGTAAGTACATTTGTTGATGTATCAATAGATTTTGAATTATTTTGTCGTTCTACTGATTCGATCGAAATAACTGTTGATCTTGAAGCTACAGTTGTAATATTTTGTGCCGTTGGAGATAACGTTTTAAGAGTTGAAGCTGACTTTTTAATCATCGGCCTTGTAGTTTTCAATGCAAAAGGATTGCTTCCAAATATTGTTCGTAAGAAATTAGTTGCAAATGCTTAATTAAAAAATATTGAACAATTAAACTTTGTTAAATATTTCACAATTTTCTAAAATACAAACTTTTAAAATAAAAAGTGTATTCTGAAAGAAATTATTGTACTCTTAAATTTCATTAAATAAAGTCGTATTTAAGGCAATAAATGTATTTACATATAATTTTAACTTTTTATATATCAAAGTATTAAAAATTAATAATAATTTATGAAATATTAATAATAATGTTATTAATTATTTAGAATTTAATTTAGTATAAATAAATCATATAAAGAAATGAATTTTAATTACGAATTATCCACAGACAATATAAATTAATTAGATAATTTAATAAATAGTTTATCATTAATGAATATCGAAAATAAGTTTAATGTCTAAATTTTCTAGAAATTTTTGAATAAAAATAAAAGTTTATAATAAGTAAAAATTTTACCAAGTGGTGCAAAAAGAGGAACCTTAGATGTAGTGCTTGGTTTAAATCGTTTAGTAGTTTTCGGCATATTATTTATATTAGCGGATGCTGAAGTCGTCATTGTTTTCAAATGCCCCAACATAGATTGTAATGTTTTCGATGTGGATGTAAAGTGTAAATTTAATGATTTACTCATCTTTGGTACCCTTGATGTAGTCATGGAAGTCATTGGCATCGTGCTAGGAGTTACAGTTCCCATTGATATCACAGAGGATTGTTTGTAACCAGAAAAAGTTCTAATAGGTTTCCATGTATAAGGCATTGTAGATTCAATACCAGGTAGCTTTGTCGTGGATAGTGGTACTAAACCGATGACTGTAGGCTGAGAAGATGAACTAAGCAGACTTGACGACATCTTAGCCATTTTACGAGGTGTGTTCATTTGATAAGAATTTGGTGATACATTTGATAGTTGAATCGCTTTTGGGGAACGGAATGAAGCACTATTTGTTAATGTTCGTCCAAGTACAAGAGATAGGATCTATATAATATTCAAAGTATTTTTAAAAAATTAAATTAGTCATTCTTAAAATACTACATTTTGATTCTCAATAACAATGTATTATTGTATATACAAACATATTGTGAAGTATCAAATTAGTGGCTTTATTCAGTTTCATTTAAAATGAATGTTGAAATATTATTAAAAATCGTCGTTTGTGCCAAATTTGTATAATTAATACAAGTTTTATATAATATAAATCATTTATATATAAATAGAATTGAAAAAAAATAATTTATGATTTTCTAGCATTGATTATTTTTATTTTTTACATTCTCACTGTATTAAAAAAAGTAATGTTTATGGTATATTTCCATGTTATTTTCTTCTTAAATATAATACACTTAAATTTAATAGTAATAGAAATATCCTCCAATGAAATAAAATGATTGATGTTATTTAAATTTCAGAAATAATATCATATCAATAACTTTTAAATAAAAAGTAATTGCAAGATAGAAATTAAAAAATGTATTAAAGTGTGAAAGATCCCACAATAAATTTATGAAATAGATCGTCATATTTCATTTTCTCCCTCCTATCAATCCATTTACACTTTATATTTGTTTAAATACAGTTCGACTATACGGTAGTGATTTTTACTAGAAATGTACCTATGTAATTTGCGGTGCAATCAATTTACTGTGTGGACTGATATAAAATTCGATATTAAAATATTCGAAGTTATAAAAAAAATTATTTAATGAAATGTTAAAAGTACGAAACCATACAACAAATTAACATAAATATATATTATTTTGATTTTAGATATTTTCTTCTATACGTTTTTATTCTGTCATATTGCATTTTTTAATAACTTAATAGCTTTAATTTCAATTATATTTCTATTATAATTTTATAGCTTTAATTTAATTCCAATTATTAATTCCAATAATCCAAATATTGTATTATAATTGAAAAAAATATGAAGTTCAATTTAATATAATCAGAACTTAATTCAATCGAATATTTATTCTCACGAATATAGTATTTTAATATTTCGAAAATATAATAAATATCCTCAGAAATAAGACATGCTTTACTTATTTAACACGTACTGTATTTGATTTATTTATATTCAATAATGTATAAATTCTTCTTATCGTGAAATTTTTAATAAATATATTATCATTTTTAACATCATTAATTCATCATATCAATCCATTCACAAAGTAATAAAACATGATACATTATACACATTAAATAAACATATTTATTGAAAATAGAATTAAATTAATTGAAGAAGAGAATAGAAACTCAAGTTTAATGAGTATAATTAACTCAATCGTGTTACATGTTTTTTTTTTTTAAATATGCATGAGAAATATCACATTCATAAATCGCCCCTAAAATAGCCTGCCAGAAAACAATTAATAATGAAATAGACTAAAGTTTAAATGAGAATCAAAACACTGACCAGTCACCCTTCACATATTGATTATATATAAAAACTGGTGAATTATAGAGGTAAAAACCTCTTATTGATAAATTTATGTTATTCTTACAATTTTTAAAATAATTTATTTATTAATAATTGTAATAAAATAAATCGCAAATTGAACAATTTTAGTTAAATTATGCTTACTTTATTTGTAAGTAGTTGCTCTATTTTTGTAAGTGTTTTTGGTGTAGATTCATTTAAACTTGGATTTTCCAGCTACAACAGATGTTTTCGTATATATATATTTATTTGATTGAATAATTAGACAATATGGATAACGTATATAAATAATAATATAACTGTAAATAATTTATTATAAATAATTAAATAATACCTGAATTGCTTCTATTATTATAATATTTGAAATTTAATATTAGAAAATATTTTTAATTACCAGTAAGATTAATAATTCTTTACATTATAATATTAATAACATAAACATAGTTAAAATACCATTACTAAGAAATATATTTCAAAATTTTTAATGCGCAAAATATAATTAAATTAAATTAATGAAAAATCTAAAATCAGTCTAAGTTTGCAGCAAATATATTGGTTTTATTTTATAAATCAGAATAAAAAAACAAATTCATGTTGAGAATTACAGCGTTACAATTATTATAAATATTAAGTATAATTAAAATATTTGCAACTAATAACGTTAATTTCAGTAAAATTAAAAAAATAAGAAATTATTAAAAATCAAACAATAAAGTATCTACATAAATTACCAAAGTATTTAGGAAAGATAGATCATCAAATGTATTGCCAAAAGCGTTTGGATTTAATGTTACTGGAGATTCAATCGTCGAAAATAATTCTTCACTTGATATTATTGGAGTATGTGTCATTACCGAAGCTTCTGTTATCATTGTTTTTAGATTCTCCATTATTGGTGATAACGCGGTTGGAGTCGTTACTCTTGTAGTTGCTGGAATAGTAGGACTTTCTATTTTTGGGACTGAAATGATTGTTGCCCTTGTTGTCTTTTTTGGAGTATCAATTAAAGAGTTAATAGTGCTTGATATCGGATTTAATATCTCGATCATATTTTTAACTGGGCGTACTGAAGCAGTTAAATTTTGTATATTACTGCCGTCCTTTATAAAACAAATTTTTTTTTATTAAATTATAAAGAAAAAATGTTTATAAAAATAATGCTACATCTCGCATATTGAATTGATATTAAATTTTAACACATTTCAAATATAAATAATTTGACAAAATGATTTGAAAACATAAATTCAGTTTCGATTTAATTCGATGAATTTAATTTCCATTATTTAAATCTTTCTAACTTAATAAGATGATTATGCATAGATGATGAGTGATTTGTAATTAAAGAGAATTTAATTTAAAAATATTTAAATAACATTTAAACTAGGTAACCTTTAAATATTTGAAGCAATTAATGATTCTATCAATAGAAAATTTATTATGCCGAAAATATAATCCGGAAGATGATTGTATGGAAGATTAGGTGTTGTCATCATTTTAGTGTTATTTTTAATATTAAATAATTTAATCAATTTAATATCACATGAAAGTGAAAAAATATTTGTTTAACGATATTTTATATAAATAAAAATAAAATATTCTGTCTATACTAAATAAAAACCTAATAATGTTCTAGTTCAATGATATATAAACCCCTTATACATAATATACTCCAATATTATGATCATTAAATATTTTAAATAATAATATTAGATCAGCGATACAAAATAAAAGTTAATTTAAGCTATAATTTGAAAATTTTAGAATTATTATTATTCCATACAACTTTTAAATTTTAAATAAAATTAATTTAATTTAACAATAATATTTTCATTTTATTCTAATTATTATAATTACTTTAATTTTAATCATATATTTTATTTTAAATATTTTTTATTCAATATTTTCAAATCATAATATTATATTCAGTATGAGTGTTCATAGTTTAATAATTATTTTCAGAGATTTAAATTAATATTATTTTATTTACTTTGTGTATTTTAATTGTGTTTTTAAAACTAGAAAATTAAGTACATATTAAAAATATAATAATTGATTACATTAAATGAAAAATTAACTAATTATTTTTAATTTAAAAATTTACAGATGTTACATTTTTCTTTATGTTAAAAACGGAATTAATATCCGGAAATCCAAATACGAAAATGCAAACAGAGAATTTTAATTAATTACATTAATTAAATAATAAAAAAATATTGATTGGAAAAATAAATTATGTTTTATGTTCTATTTTTTTACCTGTTGTAAGCTTACAGAATTACGTTGACCTTTATTTTCACTTATTCTATCATGCTGATATTCATCTTTTGATTGATAACTATCAATAATATGTCGATCTTGTTGGCTACTGATGATATCTGGTAAGGTACTACTGGTAACCATTGCTATCTATAAAGTGGTTAATATTACAATCTTTAATTTTAGTATTATTTAATTAATCATTAAATATAGAGTGATATCAATTTGACTAATATTATATATTTTAATAAATAAAATTGAAATATCGAAAAATTAATTTAATCCGTAATTTTAAAAATATCAATTTTAGAAACAAAATTTCTTCTATTAAAACTAAATGATATCTAAAAAAGGACAATCCAAATTTGTGAATACATAATTTATTCGTAAAATGATTATTGATTATTATAAATTTAAAATAAAAATAGCACTAAAATTGTATATATACAATATATTATATATAAATAAATGTTTCGTGTTCTTTATGAAATCATAAGAAATGTATTATAGGTTAAGTAACAAATATAATAAGAAAATTACACCCTTTTATATAGTCAGTTAATATAAAGTAAAAATAAAATAAATTACAGGAAAATATTTCATGAAATAAATTTAGTTTTTAAAAAACAGATATCAATTTCTGTTAAAAATTTAATAAATAATACTAGAAAGTATTTAAAAATCTTATTTAAATTCAAATCAATCTAATAACAAATAAAATATATTATTTTAAGTTAAATAAGCAGAAATATTTCAAGTATATTTTTGTCGTTCTATGTTTCTTTCAAAGTAAGATGAAAATATATATTATACCGTTTTTATAGAGTCGCTGTCAATACTACCGACTGGAAGATCAAAACCAGTGAGTCCACTGATACCTAGAGTATTGTCAACTTCATTCAGCATGTTGAAACTATTCTGTGTATTGACAGCGGCATCATGTTTCGGTTTATTAGATATATCAGTATTTCTATTACGTACACCTAGACTATTAGCTTGATCATTAAATAAATGAGGCTTCTTAGTAGTATTTGCTTCAAGAGAAAATACAATTTCCACTGGATTACAGGTAGGATCTGGTATTAATGTTCCATTGGGAAACTTACGAACGAGTTTTCCATTTGGATATACTCCAAATATAACATAAGGACTATTAATGTTTCTTGAATAAATAAGATTATTCTCTGGACGTTTTCTGACTATAGTTTTGTTTGGATATATTCCATAAATTAAATAGTCTCTTAACGAAACATTCGTAGATGAATTAAAGCTTATTATAGGTCTTGAAGTAGATGAATTGATCAGTTCAATATTAGGATTTAATGTTTGTTTAACCGAATTTGGAATATTAGTTAATAACGTTGGCGCAGAAGACATTATTGTAGATGAAATCATTTTACTATGTATATTTTTCAAATTCTCTGAAATAGTTGGTTTGGCTGTAACAGCTGAATTTATATTTAATTGTTTATTGGTATTAAGGAAAAATGATTTTAAAAAAGGCAAATAATGGGTATTTAATAGCAAATGGTTCTGTAAGATAACTATGATTTGATGATATCATGGCACTACCCGTTCTTTGAGCGGTGACAAATGTAGGATCCTGGAAATGGTTAAATATAATTGGACTGACAGTTGTAAAATTTGTATTTGATTCGATCACAGTAGGTACATTAGTAGATGCTATATTATTTGAATCATTTATAAGTGCAAACGTAGATATTTCATCGACTATTGGTAAGAATTATGTTTAATTAGTAGTTAGTAAATCTAATTTATGTACTTGGAAATTAATTGGCACTTTAGAGTTTTGCATTGTATTTAAAAATTACGGCATACGGGCATTATAAAGTTTACTGCTACTTATTAAATTTATAATATTACTATTTGGAATATTAGAATTTGGAATAATTGATACTGGATAATAAGATAGTTGTATAATCGAGCTAGGTAATGAAGAAATTTGTTGTGTATTTGCATTAATAAAGTTTATGTCTAGAAATAAAATGGTAGATAGTAAAATAGTAGTTTCAGTAACTAATGAAGTCTTATTATCAATTTCTACTATGATATCATTAATAATAGTTATAATATTTTAAAGGTATACTTTACAGAGTTTTATAAAACTTAAGAAAATTTATCAATCAAGTTATATGTAAAATTATATGAAGGATCAATAATATTTCTAAAATCATCTGAAATACTTTTTGTGTTCTTCATAGATTTAGTAATTTTATTATCATACAAAATATTGTTAAACGTAAAATTATATTTCACATTTATTTGTATATGCTTAAATATTTTTAATTTTAACTTTTTATCTATATTATTGAACAATTCTTTTTGTTTAATTAAAGGCTCAGTACCTGCAGGGTAAGATATATTTGTTCCTTTCATAATACTGAAATTTGTTTCTTTGTTCCAAATATTTGAAAAATTATTTAAATTGGTAATATATTTATTATGTATTAATTTCATTATTTCTTCTGGATGAATTGTTGTTAATAAATTGTTTTTTTCGTTGTCCAATATCGTTGACATAAAAGGTCTATTAGCATTAGTTCCTGTTTTTGTCAAATTTAAGAATTCTTTAAATCTACTAGTACTTATTTTGGGTATAGTTTTAGTAGAAGTTAAAATATTTGACAATGAATTGTTTATTATTAATAATTTTGGTTCAACCGGAATATCTTTAGTAGCTTCTAATGAAGATCGATTAATTTTTAAACTGTTGGATGGTAGTAATTCATCTGAATTTTTCAATTTCGTTTTATTAATAAAATTATGAAAATTACTTGTATTATTAACAATAATTGCTTTTTCTTGTTCTAAAATATCTAGTTTCGTAATATTTATTGGTTCTTGTCTGATTCCAATACCTATAGAAGTAAATTGAGTCGTTTTATTATTAAGTGTAGATAATTTAATATCTAGAGGTAATTTACTTCTTGTTGATTGTTCGAAAGTATTTAATTCTTTTTGTATTGGAGTTACCTTCGCAACTATCGAGTTCTCAGTTAAATTACTAATAGAATCAATATTATTTAATGACACAGACGATATAAAAGGTGTAGGGATACACTCTGTCGAATTAATTGCAATGTTTGATATAGTTAATATTTCAGTATTATTCAAGTTCATTTTCTTTTCAGGTGATAATATTGGAATATGAATAGTAAATAATTTATTTAGATGTATATTATTATTTACTGAATGAAATACTTGTGTAGTTAATTCAGAATTTTTCGACATAGAGCTGTTAGAAATAGTTGTATTAGTTATTATGCTATCAATATTCACAAGAGTATTAGATATATTATTGGCATTATTTTTATTAAGCGCTTTATTGCTCAATATTTTTTTAATATCTCGTATATTTTCAAAATTATTTATTGATTTTGAAGTAGTTACTATATGAAGAGAAACAGTTGTTTTATTATCAGCGTATGAAAAATGAGTATCATTAACAATACTTGATATAGTTACTGGCATTATTTGTGATACATTATTATTAGAATTCATTGCATTGAAAGGATTATTAGCGATAACATTACTAATAGGGATAGCTTTACCAAACACCCATAACTGACGTACGTCTGTTTTTTCATTGTTGGTAATATTCGTGGATTGATATAACGTTGATATCTGCGAATTTTCAGCGTTCATAACATTTATTTGCGTTGTCGAATCATTATGCTGAAATAAAAACATATTTTGTACGTTCTGTATTATATATACATCGAATATTGGAATCAGAAATAATCGAATATTTTGTTTTGTGAGATGATGAATATTATTTCACAAATAACTATAAACTGTTTTAAAAAAGTTATTATACAAATTTAATATCGATATACTACTAAATATCTTTTTCATTCTTTCCTTAACATTTTATTAATACATAATACCTACACTTCGATTCTAATTTAATTAAAATGTTATTTAAGTAGTTTAAAATATTACAATTTTTCTGAAATTTATATGAACTTTTTTAATTTGAAGCATTAAATAATCGAATTTTAATTTAAAAATTCTTGGATCTAATATTAAGATAGTAATCAATCCTAGTAAAAAACTGTTTTCTACAATTAATGGCATCGATTAAAGTTTTTTTTAAAAAAAATTTATAAAAATTATTTATTAATATTCGTTATTTTAATGAATAATCGTAAATTAATTATTATAAATCACGTCAAAGACGGTAATTTAAATTTTTTAATTCTTTTTCGAATTCTATAAAATTTATAGAAAGATAATACAACAAATTTGTAACTATGTTTAAGAGCTATATTTATGTGTAAATTAAAAAAAGAACTTATATATAACAGAAATCTGTTACACATAGATTATAGCATTTGAACTATTATGGATATTCTGTATCTATTATAGAATTCGATAATTCAAAATGCTTATATGAAAAACACTTTCTTTACATATTGTAATGTTACATTAATTTGAATAACTAAATATCTTTTCTATTTCGTTTATTTTGATATCTATGTTTCTTAAATCTATTTTTTACTATACCTGTTATATATATATAAAAAATTTTCATGGAAATCGCCATTATAAATATTTAAAAAACATCACTTCAATTCTAATGCATAATATTAATATTAATTCTTAATCATATTAATATAATTGAAAGAGTATTTGAATCTTCTATTAAAGAAAACTGATATAGTTTTGTAGTAATTTTGTTGTTTAATTTAATATTTTTATTCATTTAATATTTTATTTAAAGTTTACAAATACTTTAAAACGTTATTTTTTTAATCTGCTTATAAATTATGCTTGTATTTAATTAATATAAACATCAAAACCAAAAAAACAATATTCTAATTATTTTTTTATTGGTCGCTAATCTTTCAAAATTTTAATAAATAAATAATAGTTACATTTAGTGAAGAAATGAAATGGTGGAACATAAATATCAAATATTTTTTCATTGCATATTATAGAGTATACAAATAGAAAATCTTACTACAATTTAAATTTTATACTTTAGAACCAAAATAGATTAGCTAACTTCCTTTTTATTTGATTTCTTTCAATCAATAATATTTAAGGTAAAATAAATTATGAAATTAATAATGATTTATATTAATAATGGTATATATATATATATATATTTATTTATACATATATCAAAAGTAGATATTCAATACAATTTATGATCATTACAAATTTGTTTGAAAGTCTGTATGAATTAAATTAAAATTAATATTTATTTAATAAGTAAATTATTGTTAATTTTAAATTTTACCTGAGATAAAGAAAAATTTGTAGGCGTTGGTCTTCTTAAATAAAGTTCGGTACCTTTATATCTGGCACTAAATTTGGAAAGTGCACTTTTTGGAATAAGTCTCGATAAGGAATTCTGTTCATACATAAATATTCTATTAAAATGTTATTAATTGCTAAAATAAACTTATTGAAAATACTTTTTTAATCAATTTTTAACTTCATGTTTAATAATAAATAAACATATATTAAGTATGTCATTAATTTTATGATTTGATTTACTGCTTTATGTTTTTAATTATTGTCTATTGCTTAATATAAAGTAACTAAATTAATTACTCTTCAAAAATTTTATAAGCAGAAATAAATAAAATTTTTTGTACATTTATTATATTAATTATTAATAAAATAATCATTGAAGTATTTACAATAAAAATAATAGTTTTAAAGCCTATTTTTATCTAAATATAATTTAAAATTTCATTTTTACAAGTATATAGAAAATCCATTTAAATTTTAAAAACGTTAAAATTTTATTTAAACAAAGTCTGTATAAAACAAAAAATTTAATTACCACACTATTTGAATTTTTATAAATATTGGAAACTGCTGGCGATTGAAATCCTCGAGTACTCCACAATGGAGCTACAGTACTCCTCAAATATTCCAATATAGTATTGTTCCCAGTTTTAAAAATTGCTGTACTTTTTGATGGATTAAAAATATTTGTACTTTTAGTATTTCCAAATATTATATTTTGCGAATGTGGAAGTGATTCTTGTAAAAAAGTAGTTGAGTTGCTATCATTACTGCTCCATACTGTCCCGTTAATAATAGGCTTCTGTGTTACCGATAGCTGCTGACTCAATAATTCTCCCTCCGGTTTTACAGTTGTTTGATTTTCAAAAGACTTCGGAGTAATTGCAATACTCAACGGTTTCTCTATTGCCGATGGATAAACTACAAATACAGTTGAGTCAGTATAATTTACTAAAGCTGCTGCACTGGATTTATCATGGCTAATAGTTGAATTAACTGTATTATTAAATACATTCCAATCAGATTGCATTTCTCCTTTGGCATGAGCTTTCTTTGTAAAAAAATTGTTAGTCTTTAAAGATAGGCTATCATGTACAGTTAAAATATTATTATAAGCTGATGTATCCATTTCGTGTTCAGTAAAATTTTGCATTACTGTTTTGGTGTCAAAAGAAGGAAAGGTTGATGAAAGTATTAATGCTGGTGGCATTTGGTTTTCAAATATCTTCATTGTTGATGAACTAATGGAGTTAGTATTATCCATTTTCGCTAATCGTGTCGAGAATGAGAAGGATTTAATTGTTCGCATTGTTGTTAATAAAGTTGTTGGACCATCCATAGAATCATTTTTTTTCACTAATTTATGTATTTGACTCTTTTCTATACTCTCAAGACTTTTTCTGAATTTTAAAGCAATGACCTTTACGTCCTCGACATAACTTTTATCATTTTTTGATAATCCAAGAATCTTACGAGGTTTGATAATTATAGATAATTTTGTTGTAGGAAATAACTTATCTTGAAATTTATCTTCAATTTGAGATGATTTCGGTCCTCGAAACTTATTTTCTGTCAATTTAGATATTAATTTATATTTGTGTTCCTGATATTGATCTAATTGTGTTGAATTGGTTGCTTTATTTTTATAAATGTTTTTGTCAGTACTTTTCTCAATAGTTGAGATAATATTGTTAGATGGTATTTTTGAATTGACAGTATATAATTGGGTCTGCTTATATCTCGAAAATCTTGTTTGAGAATCTTGTAAATCCTTTTTCAATTTAGAAGTTTCCCAATTAGACTTCATAGAAGTTGTTTGGTACCATCGAGATCTCTCAGTAAATAAAATTAATTTTTGCATATTTTTTAATGTATTCTGATCTTCGTCATCTTTTAATTTCCTTATATTTTGATCTCTAATATGTATATATTTTGAAAGTGGATTAACGATTTCTTGATGTGTATTTGTTTCATCGAGGAGTAATTCAGGCTTCACTAATTTACGAGCATTGTCCAATTTGATTTTTGAACGAGTTGCAAATAATTCTAGTGCTGTCACTTTGTTGACCTGAAAAGTTTTCTTCTAAACACCTCTTTTTTAAAAATGCAATTTGGTTTACTTTTGTCACACCTCCATGTAGTTTTATAGTTTTAAATACATTCAGTTTCCCTAAGTCCCCCAAAGCATGATAGTGTAGAAAGAATAGTAAAGAAGAATTTTTGTTAGTACTTTATTTGATCGACAGTTATTTTGTAAAATTAGTTAGAATTCACTAACGATATATGAATGCATAAATTCCAGTAAAACCATACTTTAAATACAATTTAAATAAATTAAACATTTAGGACTTATTTTTGTTTTATTTTCATATTATGATTTCATCAAACTTATTTTATATAAGTTCATCCGTGTCCTCTGACTTAAAGTTTTTTTCATTTTCTCAATTCATTTGTTAAATTTTATTCTTCTTATTTTTTACATATTTTTTTTTACAAATATATATGTTCGGTAGGAGAGAAGAATGATATGACCAAGCGCAGAAAAGAAGCAGTCCATGAGACGACACGTTGCCTAAAGAACCCGAAGAATGAATTGACTGCCATTGACAGAAACTGAAAGTTTAATTAGCGAAATTATAAAATTGCGTATTAAATTCAAAAAAGAAATTTAATGGGAAATATTTCAAAATTTGTATTTATTTGACATAATTCTACATATCAAAAAAATTAATAAAGTATATTTACTAACTTGTTATTAGTAAGTGATCATTTTGTCTATAATTACGATAAAATTAAAAATGTAAAATTTTAATGAAATATGATTACATTAAAATGAAATAGCTAAGCTAAATATTGATTTATCACAAATATTTTTTATTTTTAATTAAATCACAAAACATAATTTTAATTTACAGCAATAAAATAGAATTAATTTATTGTATTAAGATAAATTCTACGCACAAAATATTTCTACATATATATCAATGTAGATATGTGCGAGTGTAATTTTCATCTACTAATATATATATATATATATATATATATATATATATTACTTATTTATTTAAATTATTTATTTAAATGTTTGTTTTATTTAGAAAAATAAAAATTAAAGAAATTATTGTTTTTTCCTCTTTATAATTAAATTTTATATACACTTTTAATAATAAACCAAATTAATAATAATACTTCAACAGTATATCTAATATATTTAATATATCAAAAGTATTCTAAATATAAATAAAATTTTATTTTAGTTAAATTATTTTTAAACTTTTATAAAAAATAAATAAAAAAAAAATCTTTAAAATATATTAAATTGTAAAAAAATAACAAAATACGCTTTAAATATATATATATATATAATATCTATATTTTAACAAACAAACAGTTTTAATACCTATTTCCATACAATAAAATATTAACTTTATGCTGTAATATATACGTAAAAATAAGTTTATGCTTGTACAAGAAGGTATATCCACACAAATCAATGTAGTACTATATGATTTTAACGTATAATAGATAAATTAAATTCACTTGTTTATATTTTTATTTATTTCTTAATTTATATACAAAAACGGCTGCTAGTAAAATATTAAACATTAATGCTTAAGAAACTCAATGTTTAACTTGTAAATTTTTAACTTGTAACGAAAATTTAGACAACATTGTATAGTAATAGAAATATACAAAGAGCAAATTATCTTAATCAATTGAGATGTATTTATTATTTAGTTTAAGTTGTAAAGAGTAGTTTAATTTAGAGCATTTCTATAAGTAATTTCCTATAAAAAGAGTAAAACATTTCATTTAATAAACAGTAACGACTCTTATAATAACCAACGAACAAGTAAACGTAATGACCCATTTTATTTCTATTTGTACTTAAATATATATTTATAGAACGTATGAAAACCACGCCTATAATTAAAGAGTGCCTAGAAAATTTACTTTCTCTCACGTGCGCCTGCCATGAACCCAAAATCACATGCAAACGGTGAACAACTAACCGGTTCATGATTCTGGGATACGTGATCAGCATAAACTCCTGCATAACTTTGCATTTTGTCAAAGAAAATCTATTTATAATTATTATAAACTCAAGTGACTGGATATGTTCTTTAATACTTATTAACAAATATGTCCGATCTGCTCTATTGCTAATCTATTTACACTACGTTGTAAACACAGCTATTAATTGAATTTTTCTTTCATTATCCCATTAAAGATAAACTTTAATTTAATGAATAATAAAGATTTATATACATTTTCATTCTTTAAACAATAATGTTTAGAGCTATTTTAAAGTAGTTTTAAAGATATCACAAATAAAGTCATAACGAACTTCAAGGTATACTTATTCCTTTTAATACGCATCAATTATATACTTGTAATATATAAATACATACTTCTAAAATGCAAATTTATATTGCTTCCATATTAGTATGCACTTAAAAATTGATCTCTAAATAAATTAAATCAAAATATAATATTCTACTTCCTATATTATTATATATAAATAAGTTAATTTTACATAAATTAGGGAATTTTCAATACGTACAAAATTCTGTATTTTTAATTAATGAAATAAAATTGACAATATAATATGAAAATATATTTAATACTCTAAAACGGAAATTTGTAATACCTTTACGATAATATGTTAGTGATATTTAACTGTAATATTAATAATTAGAGGGTGCATTAAAACTGTTTTCTTATTAATTTAATTTTTTTATTAAATTTATATTATAGTATGTAAGAGTCTTATTTGTTTATAATGAACCATACACCAAGTGATTTTTTTATGATGATACCAGCAGATATGCATTCTAAACAATAATAGTTAAACCATTCAGAAATGTTATTTCGACCCAAATGAAAAATAGGCGTAAGAATAATTAATAAAATGTTCATTATTAATTAGTTTAAACCTGTTTTATAAAAACGTATAAATGAATGATAAAGATAAATTTAATTAAATAGAATAAAGTATACATTCAAAAATGTAATTACTTACGTTTAGTGATGATCTCATATGTATATCGGTTTTCTGCTGAAAGAATTTAAATAGTTAATGTAAATATATTCAATAATTTTTCCCTATCTTAAAAATGTAACCCTTATGCTATTAACATAGCATTATAATAATTGAAGTAATATAAAAACAAAAAGAATTAAATAAAAAATTATATCTTATTTGAATATGTTTACCGATTTTCATCAATAAATTTATAATGACGAATTAATATTTTTATAAAATTATTTTAATTCAATGTCAAATAAGAATTTCGAATTTTAAGTGAACTGAAATTAATAAGCTGTAAATATTTGGCAAAATAAAAAATAAGTACAAATTTTTTTAATTAATCATTGATTTTATATTATTTGGTCTAATTTTTTATCATTTTTATTCATTATATTACTAAAAGTAACCACCCACTTATATTATTATAATTTGACAAAATTATACAATAAATTGTTCATGTGTGCAATTTATTCACCAATTGCGATATTCTAGCTTTGAACTCAGGTGGGTAATTATCAATTTCACTAAATTCTTCCTTTATCCTTCCATCTGTTATTTTTGCAAACGTTTTATTTCCTCTCCTCATAGTTTTTGAAATACTCACTTTAGTTGAATTTATTTTATTTGTTTGTACTAAAGTCGGTATTTCAACCGAATTAAATATTACTGGAGATGATGAATTAGCACGCCAATGTCCGGGACGTCTTCTTAATGTCCATCCTGGATTTCCATGTGCAGTATTCTCAGTTTTAAATGTTATGGCAGAAATTGGAGTAGTTGTCGTTGATGTTATTATTGCTGGAACTAATTAATTATGAAATATGTGATTAACATGTTTATCAAATCAAACATATTCTGTATTAAATATAAATAAATAATTGAATATAAGTGATTTAGATTCGAATGTATTTTATTTATATTGTTTATATTATTATATATGCATTTCAATAAATTGTTTTTCATATATCTAATAAATCTCTTCTTGCATGAGATCACTAAATTAAAAACAGTGATTATTATGAATTCATTGTATATAAATAATATATTAATGAATTGAATATACATATACCAATCATGTATGCATATATATGTGTGTGTGTCCGTGTGCGCGTGCATGTGTGCATATATGCGTATGTAAATAATAAAAAAATTTTTATTTAATATTTAATAATATACTTAAGTACAAAAAGTTTTGGTTTTGAGTTACATTTGATTATTTGATCAAAGCAATGAATGATAGACATTATATAAAATATAAAAAGTGTAATACTTTAACATAGTACAAATTACATAACTTTATTTAATCTATAATTTCTACTTTTACCTTGTTCTGTTCTAGAAATCGACGGTGTTCTTCCTCTGAATCCCAAACCACGATTAAAAAAATCTTCTTTTGAAGCTCTACGCGATTGATTATTTTGTCTAGAAGTTTTACCAACAGATATATTTCTTTTCATTTCAACATTTACTGTTGGTCTTTGTGAAGAAGTCGATTTTAATATCGTTCTCGAGGTAACAAAAGGTAGCGTTATAGATTTAAATGTGGGTCTAATTGTTGATACAGCCTTTGCTCTTTGAATATTTCTAGTTTTTGGCATTAATTCAGAGATTGTTGAAATAGGCGAAGTCCGATTTAAAGTATCATTATTAGTCATATCAATCTTATGTCGATTTCTAGAGCTATTTAACTTCTTAATATTTTGACTTCCAGTCTGTATTTCTAAAATTTTCGTATGTTCAGAGTTTCCTGGCATGGATTTGGAATTTAAATTTCTAGTATGGTAGTTAGGTTGTATTGATATATCATTATTGTTAATCATTACATTTATCTTTTTATTCTTTTCAATTCGACTTCCACCACGAACAGAAACATTGTTATTGATAACTTTCGAATTATTATGAGATATAACACTTTGAAATATTTGTTTGTCTTCTACTGCTTCTCTAATGTCTTGATTATTTAAAATGTTAGGTATTTGTGTAAAGGATGAAATATTATGTGATCTTCTTGCAGCATTTAAACGTAAAGGGGTTGTATTGATATGAACATTTTCTGAACTTGAAGCTGCAATATCATGATCATAGCGTAATTCTATTACATTTTTTTGCTGATTATTTCTGGACCGATTGTATTTGTCACTTCCCGTTGTTAAATTAAATTTATTATCAATATTGTCTAATTTTAATGTTAATTTATTATTTTGAAATTTAACAAATTGGTGATCTGTTTTTCCTGTTGGATTAACAATGCCTTCTTGTGTAACATACTTCATATTTAGTATGCCTGGTAAATATCGGTTATCACTATAATTTGTATTATTATCCTTATTGTCAGGTACACGATTTTTTTTTAACTTTTTACTATTTGGCTCTGAAAGTACCTTCTGTGAAATGAATTGCATTGATCTATGGTTAAACGATTTTTCTAATGGAACTTTTAAATTGCCTAGATTATCTTTTTCGATTACTTTAACCCATGAGCTTTTAATCGATTGATTTTGAAGAGGATTAATAAGAATATTTACACTATTATTACGGTTTGGCACATTCTTCCGACCTGTTATGTTTGTTCGTCTAGTATTAAAAGATCTTGAATCCTTATTAGATATAGTTACTTCTTTTTCAGTTTTTAATGTTGCAAAGCTCCTTAAAGGTTGCCGAAATAAATTGTGAGTTGTCGAAACTTTCTGCTTAATTCTATACGACTACAAAAAAGAAAAAAATTATACAAATTAAATTTTCTTTCAAGAAGTTCATACAGAAATTCAACTTATTTCTGTGACACACACCCATAAATACATATATACAATCTGTATTATAAAGGTGAATATAAAGCTATTATAAAGAATTAATTTTATTAATATGATATAATACATTTAAATATGTAAATTTAAAATATACAAAAACATTCATTTTTAATAAATGAATTATCTGAAATAAAGTCGAATAACATAATATTGTTAAAGATATATTGATTAAATAGGAAATAATAACTTTTATTTAATATAAAAAAATTATAAGAAAATTGTTCAAATTTTTTCAAAATACTAAAAAAAAAAGTAGTTTTTGTTACAACCACAACTAATATATCAATGATAAATCTATTTTTATTTATTAATTTCATTAAAGTTATTACAGAACACTACAATATAATTAAATAAATTATAAAAAAAAAACATAAGATTTACTAATTTTCAATGATATTATTATAAAAGATTTTATCACTAACAGAACCTTAACAAATATGAATATACATAAATTTTTACAACCTTACCTACCTAATGCGTATTCATTTTACAAGAGAATTTCGAAACCAGACTACGGTAAGACTTCCAGCATTTCTGGTACATTTATTGACTACCATATTCTCTTTGCACATTTTTAAAGATAATTTCTTTCATTGTAACATATTCTATAATATGTTTATATATGTTATATATAAATATTTTAATAAAAATAATTACAAAAAGTCTTATTGATTATCTCCTATACGGATTTTTACAAAAAATATAAATTGAAATGCATATTATAGGTATTTTCATATACAAATTACAATAAATGGATACAGAGTATTTGATGCATATTAAATATAAGTTCATTAAATTAAACTAGCATTAAACAATTAAATTATTATTAGAATTAATTGCATATTTTATAAATTATTTAGTAAAGATTAATTTATTCAAAAAATTTAAATACAATATTTAAAAGTACAATACGAAATAAATATTAATATAAAAATAAAAATTAATATAATATAATAAATAATTTATTAAAACTATAAAATTAATATTTCTAGTTGAAACAAGTATATACATTATTATATATTAGAAGATATTTTTTATTACTAATTATATTAATATTATTTCAATACTTACTTATTTAATTTTTTTGTATAATTTAATTATATAAAATCGTATAAACAAAACTTTAAGTGACTTGCGTAACAGATAATTTTAGGTCTTTCAGAAATTAAGCTACCATTAGTTATTTTTGTTTAAAATTTTTTATTGTAATAAATTCTGTTATTAATAATGTTAAATTAATCTGTTAAATTAATAACTGCTATTATTAATGTCCTTATTTAAATTTATTTATTATACATTTTATATGACAATATAAAATATTTTATATTGTCATATAAAATGTACACTGATATAGGAAACTATTAAGAAATGTTTTGAATACAGCTTTATTTTCTTATTTAAAATTATATTTATAAAGTGGATATCATATTCTACTAAAATAAAACTTAAAATATTTATGAGCTTTTTTTATTTATGTCTTTATTTATTATTTATTTTATGTATTATTTATGTCTTGCATGTTATAAATACTTATGTACTTATCCTATAATAAATATTAATAATGCTATTATTATCCTTACTTCTATATTGCAAAGATGAAGATGATAAATATTTTTAAAACCATGTGTTTTTGGATCATACTTCACTTATTGAAATCATACTTAAATACTGAACATACTTAACAATATATTTAAGTCTGATATTTTAGTATAAAATATTTAAATTATGTATTGCATATACTATTTTTATAATATAGAAATTACGTTACAGAAGAAAAGCTAATCTGCAACCTGTTTAAAAGTACACTAATTACAATAAATACGAGGTTCAAATTTATTTCTTTAAACTTACTATTTTATTTTTGGTTTATGTTATGCTAATTATATAATTAAAACATGGTTTTAACTATTTTTACTACTTTTTGTTAATTTTAAAAATGGAATAACACATTCATTGTAATACTTTAAAAGTTTCAAACAGTAACGGTTTATAATTAAATTCACTCACATTATTTATCTACAAATTTATTTAAAGATAAATTCTTTTAATCATAAATATTTTAAATTATTAATTTTTATATGGAAAAATTCTTGTTTACATTATTTAAATGTAGTGTGATATTTAATGTGAATAAGTACGTGATTTAATTGATACAAATATTGAAAAATTAAAAGTATACAAATTTTTTTTAACTTATAACGTAAATGTAAATATTAATTTAAAGAACATTAGAACACAGTTATTTTATATAATTGTTCATACATATAATTGTTAATATTTTACATTTCATTTTATAATTATATAATTTTACATATAATATATTTCCAAAATGGAATTGGCTATAATTACATAAATAAAAATAAAATAAGTTCAATCAGGATCTTAGAGTATTAGTATATAATGTATTGTATAGATTAAATTATTATCATTTGTTGTTAAAGTTTTGTAGTTATAATTAATATAAACGAGTGAGACTTAAATAAATGAAGCCATTAAATGATTTATATTGCAACTCACTGGGATAAGTTCTTTTATATCAATCCACTTGTCAGTGATTGATAAATGAAAATTAAAACAACCTAGAATATCGAAGGATGCCAATTAAACGAATAAACAAAAATATTTTTTTATTAATATTTTTTTTTAGAATGAAGTATTTAAATATTTTAAGTTTCAATGTAAAATATAGATGGAATTGATAGTTATTGCTACACTATATACTAAGGAAAAAAACATTAATATACATAAATAATATTCATATGAAAACAAAAAAGAAGACAATTTTATTATTTATATTTTTTCGTAAAACAGTTTTTTTATTTGATGGAATTTTCTTAAAAAAATGAATTTTTTTTTCTTTCCTCACAATGAGTAGATATTATATTTTTACTCAATAAAAAATATAATAATTTATTAAGAAATGCAATCTTATATCACAGCTCTCCTTTTTTTAAATATAATTACATTATGGACCAGAAATTTTATAATTTATATATATATATATATATATATATATATATATATATATATATATATATTTTTTTTTAATAATTATTTTAATGTAAAACAAAAACAAAAAGGAATTTTGATAAATTTTTATACAAATAACAAAATACATCACTAAACTATTATAAAACTTCAATAGCCTGAGTAGGTAATTTATACAAACAGTTTGATTAATTAGGAATTGATTGTCATCAATTCACCAGGTAATGTGACAATGATATATGTCGTAACATTGTGCAATTCTTCTGTAATCGACTGAATTACTGTAAGGAATTACATCGACGATAATGAGTATTCGTTTAGTAAATAAGTTAATTTTGATATTTAAAAGTTTATAATATATGGAAAATATTTTTAATAAACTATATACTTCTTTCAAAAGATTGATCTTAAGTGTAAGTAATAGCAACTTTTACACTTAATATGGATCACCGAGTATTGAAATCTTCATGAATATTCAAATTTTTCTTATTATCAGTCACATAAGTACATTAATTCTGATGAGCCATTTCTTAAAACTATTATGTATTATACAAATGCACTAAACGATTTATGTATATGATCTTTTTATCGAATACTACTTCAACTTCCAGGTATTTGTTACTAGTTTGATTTCACTATACATTTCGGAAGTTTGCAGCAGAAAAAGTATAAACTACACTTATTTGTGATCTGTGCAATGACGATTTAAGTTGATTAGTTTTTAGAAATTTATATATAAGTTCCCTATGATATTTCAGCAATTATCAGTAATAATAGTACTTTTTTATGTAAAATTTATTTTTATTATTTTTATCAATTATTGTTGTATATTTACACTTTTTTAACTTATCTCGAAAACTTATCTATAAACTTTATATTTATTATACAGTATTTAAATTATAAGCTATATTTTAAAATTCATATATTTGCATATCTCTTAGCTACATAAAACGTTACAAACTCCACAAAAATATCATGCAATAGTTCTTATACGTAATGTTGACTATTATAAAGTGTATTATATAAATTCTTCAATAAATATTGTCACACGAACAGTTATAAATAGTAAGCAAAATGTTTTATTTACTACAGTTTAATCTGAATTATTTTTAAGTATTTTAATCATATATATTTATAAAATAAGATAACCATATTAAATTTATATAAAAAATTTGAATTGAGATAAAATTTTTCATTTTTATTATTTTCAAAATAGTTCATACGTATTTTATTAATGATTTAAATTGAGTTTTTTATCTTTCTTAACAATATATACCAGTGTCGTACAATAACAATATAACTTTGTAACTGTAATTTAATGTCAAATAAATAACATTTTTCTGCTTTAATCAAAATTTGTACTAGTTTAACTATTTTAATATATATAAAATTTACTTTCAGTTGATGAACTTTCAGTTCATTAATTTTATAAAACATGATTTTAAAATCAAAAGTTAAATCACCTATATTGATGTAGA